TCCATTTTTAGGGTCAGCTTAACCTCATTGGTCTTCATCTAGTTTACTTACCACTTAACCTATGCATTTTTGTTACTACTTAAATACTGGATTTTTATGTCATGATTATAAATGAAACTCCTATTCACTCCATTACAATACATCAAAAATAAAAAGTTACACTCAAATTATTTATAGTTAACCCTTTCATTTAAAGCATTTTTTTACCATTCTTATTTTCTTCACATATTAAGGGTGTGTTCTTTTGTAGAGATTGATTTAAAGGAGAGAGTAGAAAAATTTGAATACTGAAGGTTAAGTTTGTGTTGTTTCTTATTTAGAGGTGATAGTAAAATGGATTTGAGAATAAAATTTATAAAAGATTTAATTGATGTAATATTATTAAAAAAAATTAACAGATTAAAAAGTAAACCTCATAACATATAACATGCATGAAATTGGTTTCTTGTTCAAGAAAATCAATTCCCTCAACATATGTAAAACTATAGAATCAATTCCAACACTTCCTAGAACTGATTCCGCTCCCTTCATACAATGTTGGAATCTATTCAATATAACCTAAAACCAATTCCGATATAATGGATCTTGGTCACATACATCATGATATTAAAATAAAGGTATTTTTGTAAAACAATTCTGATCACCCTCAAATCTTCAGAAATATAACGTTATGAAATAGATACATTATTTATTTTATTAACTAAATGAACACAATCTCACCCTACAAATCCGCATTTTTTTAATATCCTTGCACAGTGAATCATTACACAATAACAAAGCATAAAGCTTCCCCTTCCACTCTTGACTAACATAACCATCATTGGTCCCTTCAACACGCGCTTTCTTATAGAATAAAACTCCAAACATGACAAATATCTTATTAGGAGTTATTTATATCTTATTAGAAGTTAGTTTCTATCAGGATATCACTTTTATTTATGGTTTTAAAATTCATTAACAATTCTGTCAAAAACTGATGACTTCTCCGGAAGTGACCCAATATACCAAACAAGTGAACCAACATTTTATTTTTTTTTTATCAAAACTTATTTACATTAATATGTTTAAAATTTATTAGTCATAACTGAATTGCAATTGAACTACATTGAGTAAATAATAATTAATTAATATAAATTTTATTAATAAATTTAATTTTATAAAGCTAAAATTAAAATATTATTGTATATATTCTTAACATTCCAAATAAATGTACAAATATGTCATAATAATGATAATTAATAAATTATAATAATGTGTCTATTACAAATAACAACATTAATGTGTCTATTACAACATTAAAAAAAAACAGAGAAATTATATTAATTTGTCATGTTATTTTATTTTTCGCTTTTTTGTGTTTTTTTATATGGAAAGGTATACTAAATTTTCATATTTTTATAATAGAGATATAACCATATTATTCAATCAATGACACACTAGGTCAAACATTGGTCCAACATGATTCAGTGACAAAATATTAACTACACCTGTCAGACCCCATTAAAACACATCCAAAAACCTCAAGTAGTGAGATCCATGTGCCAAAAGGAGAGTGAGCGTCTCAGTTAGGGAAAAACAGGTGGCTGCAGGAGGGTGACCGTTCGTTTTGGGTGACGACAGTATTTAAGGCCCAATTTCAAATAACGTGTCACTTCTCTGCATGCCTTTCTTCTTCCCCAAAACGCTGAAACTCTTTTCTCCTCCTTTCTCTCTAAGAAAACCTCACCATTTCTTCTTCCGATCACCTCTCAGGCACCGCTGGAACACTCCCGGCGTCAAGAGCTTCCATTTAAACCGATCGGTTTATGATTCTAAGACGGTGAGTCTCTTTCTCTCTAGTGCGTTCGTTTAAGTCTTGCATGCAATCCTCTATTTCTGGTTGCCTGAGTAGATAGTATAATTCTGATTGTTTCTGGTTTTCTATGTGGTTCAGTATTCCTAAAACATGGTCGTCGGACTTTAAGTTTTTGGTAGTAAGGAGCTCTAATTCTGCATAGTTGAGCGTTCGGTTACGTGTCGAGGTAAGGGAAGCTTATATAATTTAATTTAGCTTGTTGTGTTGAATGTTTGTGTGCTTGCATACGTTTGATTATTTGATGAGTATGAAATATGATTGTACTACTGGTTTGGACGTGTGGATGGACATATGATATACGCTGTGAACTGAGTTGGAATAGAGTTTAATTTTCGAACCATAGTATTCTGAGCAAAGGTGATAGTATGGTCGAACATCATTAGCGAGCGTTCGGTCTTTCTTGGGAGTGCATGGTCTTACTTGAATTATCATGCGTTAGGGAAATTGTTTAAGAGTCTTTCTATAATATGATATAAGAATAGGTAAACTATGACCGAGAGTTTGTATTCATCGTTCAGTTTTCGTTGAGCGTCCGTTCATGTTAAGTTCTTCTTTAGACTTCCTAAACAGTTTAGTTAAATGTGTTATATACTACTTAAGGTCGTAGACATTATTGTTCTTTTTCCTTCAGAATAAGTGGTGGCTCAATTGTATAGATTTATATTCATTCGTTTTATGTAAGTTTATCCGTGATTGGTCTTGGACTAAGTGTTCAGTCTCAGTAGCGGTCGTTCCTGATAAGCACTTGGTCTTGATCAATGCTCGTTTTATAGCGTTCGGTTCTACAGGGCTCAGTCTTAAACCAAGCGTTGGGTCTAGTTTTCTGTAATATACATTATTACCGTTCTTATAATAAGAGTCTTCATTCAAACTCAATAGCTTTTGTTACTTCATAGTTCCTCATCAGTATTAGTATTTGGTGTCAAATAGTGTTGGTCGTTAAAAAGGTGTTCGGCCTAGAGTCTTAGTACTCGGCCTAGGCTTCGTGGCGTCCGTTTGAACTCTTAGGGGTCTGTTGATGGAAGTGGATAAGTAGCGCTCATTTATGTTAATTTCTAAGAAATTTTATTTCAGTCGTACTTACACTGTGATGAGAGAATGTGATCGTATTCTAGTTGAATGTATTAATGATGTGTAAGGAAATTTGAAATGTGATGTGAATGAAATAGTTTGATTATGAACGAGTATTCTAGGGAGAAATATCTCAGAAAGTGGTTATTGATTGGTAAAGTATGAATTGGGCAAAGCTTAGCGGGCGTTCATCCTGATATTCCATGCTTACTCATTCTCATGTAGAGAGGAGTAAGTCATGTGTGGGAATGACAGGAGTTCCTAGTCCATAAGGTTAACTTGGACGAAACGGATCAACCTCGGGTGGCAGCTGTTGAGGGTATCCCAGTTATTACATCACTCAGGTGCACGAACGTCATAGCTACACAAGATTCATACAGTCCGGACAATCAGAGTCAAGTGGTCGTTCTTTGCATGCCATGATGAATGAATGATGAATTGAGTGTTGTTGATTTAATTATGATTGTTGTATGTTGTTATGGAATAAATTAAATTACATAAGCTTACCCTATTTATCATTTTGTCTGTGTTGTGCGTCTTGTCGTTGTTCTGTTGCAATGATCATCTGTGTGGATGTGAGCAGAAGGAGAAGAGCTGCTGGAAGAAGTATTAGAAGACGCAACGGAAGTGAAGGCCGAACCTTGAGAGCGTTCGATTTGGTGTTGGCTTTACCTTTTGTAAAGACCGGGCGGCATTAGTATATTTTGGTAAACGTTCGGTCTAGCAGTAGCTAGCGTACGTTTTTAAATCCCCTGTTATTGTGTAAGGTCGTTCGGCCATAATCGTATCTCGTTCTGTGTAGAACTGGTCTGTAGTATTATTGAAATGTGATGATTCTCGTATATGATTTTATATTGTATTTTTAAAATGTTACAACACCACAATTTTTAAAACATACTTTAGTTAATTATGTGTTGAAATTAAATAAATCAATATAAATCTAATGCTAAGAAATTCATGGCAATCACGGATATTACAGAACATTGATCTGATTGAAATATAAAATTTGCTTCATGTGTTTTCAATGGATAAAACAATGTTTTATTCTATACAAAATTTGAGTTTTGATTTCTTTCTTTTTTAAAATAAATAAGCAAACCATCAAATAACAAAGTCAACATTAAATGGGTCCAATGAAACATGATGGAGAGAAAAGTGTTCACTTTTACAAATAAAGAAATATGGAAAACAAATTAAAACTCAAAATTTTAGAGACTTAAACCCAAATTTGATATATTTAGATGAACAGAAAACATACCTGAAGTGTGTACAAACACAAATTACATTGTACATACCCTGTCAAAGCTTTACCAAACTTCCATTGATAAAAAGCTTACAAACTTGTGTTCTACATCCATATCTACCCTTTTCATTGTACATGCACTTATTATGTGCAATTCAAGGGTTTAAATCTATGAAAAAGGTAACAAAAGGAGGGCCAAACATCATAACCAAAAACATATTTTGTTGGTTTGGAAAAGATCAAATGGTGGGCCAGAGTCTTTGCATGATTCTATAATCACAAACTTTTATGTATCATCTGGCAATCCGTCAGAGGTCTTAGAAAATGAGTTATATATTATCATTTAGTCATAACCTTAACAATTTTTTAAATACAAAAGGAAAGTGACAAAAAATATTCTGACAGAAAGTAAATATAAAAAAAACTTGAGAACTTTGGTCAAAGTATAGAACAACATTACCAACTAATATTCCTCACAAGGTACTTGTACTTGCATGGACCAAGACAGAATATAAAAGTCAACTTAAACTACTGATGATTATCCCATCTTGTCTAGTTTGCCAGATCCAAATAATTAAACAGTATATCACCTAAACCAATGTAGGAAGTCAGATGACAAACATAAAGCAAAGAAAAGGTTTAACAATATGACAGGAATAGCTGAATACTTTAATCCAAAAAGCTGGTAGAGTCCGATAGAAGGATTTGTACCAATGAGACACACAATAACAACATTTCTACAAGGATTTCTAACCATTCAAGCTACGATATGATAACAGAAAATGGATTTGTTAATATTTGCTATGACTATGTAAGTATCAAAAGCCCTCAAAAAACTGGTTGGCTAACATTTCACGGTTTTATTTGTTTTTTCCTGTGGCTCCAAATCAGTGGAGCAAAGAATGTAGCACTGAACAATTACATGATATCCATCCTCAGTCACTTAATAAGAAGGAGTCACTACGTTCTATCTAACCCATAAAATTTAAGGGTGAGAAAATTCTGATCCTATTCACAATAAGAACTTGAGCTATTAAAAATAGATTCCAAAATTTGCTAATGATCTCATTTGTACACATGTACACAAGGGTAACATATTTAGCAGGTTTCCAGGTGCCAGCTTTCGTATGTAGATATCCTTAAGCCACGTCCTTTCAGGGCACCTTCTCTCAGAGAAACCCAAAAAAGTATTATATACAGTATCAAGTTAATCTCTAACACCACCAAGACCAGCTCGAGTTATTGCTTTTGTTGCTATCATCACCAGATGTACAAGCTCATCTACATCTTGGAAGCTGAAATCAATAACCTTCCTAATCGAAGTTAGGCAATCCCTATTCCGTGCTTCATCCATGTTCAAATTAGCAGCCATGAAACTGCTCTTGCATTTTCTGGAAGCTTCCATTGCAAAATTTATGTCTTGAGTCTGCAAAATCACAAGCTAACTTTTACTCATTGTGACTTTTCATTAAATAAATTATTATGGCAATTGAATGAAATTTCTATACAAGTTAAACAGTATACCTCTAACAAGAACTATAACATGTGTTGCATTAAAATGTGCACTGTCACAATAGCCAATTTGACAGTTGCATTACCATATGATTTTTATATAAAAATCACTAATGTGTTTTCAAGAATTATAGGTGTGAGCCTAGATCTTGCATGCAACAAAAAATGGTTTTAAGAAGAAAACAAAAAATTCAATCTTCCTATTTAACATAGAAAAATCAGCTTCCATCCATATAGATTTTTCTCAAACATTTTATCTGGTAGTCTAATACAGACAAATTTCCTACTATTACGTTAAATCATTAAACAACTAAATCCCCGAAATTAACTCCACCGTACTTCAGGATCAAAACACCCAGATAGATTTTCCAAATGAAACATAAGGTTTATCAATAAAGTAAAACTTACAAAATCAAGAAGCCTGATAATATTTGGGCGATTCTGAGCAGATATGACTTGATTGTTAGCAGCAAGAGTACTAGAACCCCTTGTCAAAGTAGTCCTATCCACTGCCCCCACGTTATTTAAATTATCAATATCAGATGCAGAAGACGAAGGAGATTCACCTAAAAATGGAGTAAAAAAACAGTGAACATCACCAACATACAGCAATGCTCAACAAGCCTAAAGACTTACATACTTATATCAAAAGTCAACTGCATTCAATTACCTTGAGAAACCATTTGTAGAATTGATTTTAACTCATCACGATCCCTGTTTATGGTGGAATGTTTATTGTAAACCAATCTCATGTATACCACCTCCATGCATTTATAGGCCAAGGAAGCTGCGGCCATTTCTTGGCGTCTTTCATATTTATGGGCACAGGATCTGGTATACATTTTATGGAATTTAATAATTAAAGATAATACAAATAGATAAAAAAAAAAAACAAAGGATACAAAAATTATAGGGTAATATGATAGCAAAACTCTATGCTAATAATTTTAGCACATGATGAGTATTTTTTTTAACCCCCAAAATAAAAGTAGGAACCCCAGAAAGGAAAAGGAGAGAGATTGGTACAGAACTAAGGACAAGAACTTCAAAAAAAAATCTTAGTACAAATAGTTTAATTATTCTTTTTATTATATTTTGTTTCTACCATACATAAACGGAGTCTCCAAAGGAAGGTTAGAAATTTCAAATTTATTGAACATTCTCGAATCCTTTTTCCCCTCAAAATGTGCTTTCACCAAAAGCATAACAAATCAGAGGTCGCAGAAATAACATATTTACAGATTCAAATTTTGCTTACTCAAAAAGTTTAGCTGTAGCAGCATAAATTTGCATTTGATTCATCTCTCCCTGCTTGCTAATTTCACTGTGGGATTTTTCTATAAGTGATGCTCCGTGCAGAAACTTTAAGGCAGCTTTAAAATAAGTCTCGTTACTTTCAAACTCAAAACCAGAGTTCTACAGTCAGAATAAAACAATTGGTTAGAAAGAGAAAGATGCTATATCAAACAGGTGTGAGGTAAAATCTTTTAATATTGAAATAACCTTATAATGATCTGCAGAATCCTTTAGCTTTGTGGCTTCTTCCAGAATGCCAGAGGCAGTTTGGCTAGAATTTGTTGTCACGGGACTTGACCCACTGAGCTGTCTGTCAGGTACTAAACTTCCTGAACTGTGATCAACTCCAGCCTTGCAACTAACATCAACTGCATTTCTCACAAGCCTAGGAACATCACCGTTGCCAGATGCATGGACCGGATGCCCAATAGACATATCTCCTTTTTGCGATTTGGGTGCAGTTCTAGAACCCAAATGTAAAGTTTCCCTTTTCAAAATTGGATTCCCAAAATCATTTTGTTTTGGCTCAGTTTGTTTTCCAGTTTCATCTGACCAATCCCTTGAAGGATTTTGCTTGCTAAGGTTGTCAATATTGTGTTTAGACTTCAGAAAGACGTTCTTAACATCATGACTTGTCTCAGTACCAGAAGTGTGATTATTAGGATGAACTGCTGACTCATAACTCAGACCATTTTTGGAAAAATCATTAGCTGATACTGAAACCTTCATCTTATCCCTACTCACCTCAGAACCAGAAGTTCTAACCTTTTGCTTGACCCGTAATGATGTGAGCCTACCAGATTTCTGCCAAGAAAGTGCATTTTCCTTATTACTCTTGTTCATTTTCTCTTCATGATGTGAACCACTGCCACAATTAACACGTGCAAGATGTATGTCATTTGAAACTCTCTCCTTTTTTACTGATAACTTTTTCTCCCTACTATCTAATTTTTTTATTGATAAACCACCTTTTCTAGCATCATCTTTTTCTGATGTGTCCAACCCTGCAGCAAAAGTACATTTCTCGATGTTGGAAGTCCTCAAAGGTGATGAGGTAACAGATTCTACTGGTGAGCCTATGGCCTTTTCAAGCTTAGTTCTAGCTTCGTGAGACCCAGAAACCTTAGAAGAACTTGAAGTTGCTGCCAATGAAAATTTTCCAGAGCCTAAATCCCCACCCGATGTATCAAAACAATCCAAAGCTTGGTAAGAAGCAACATTTTTTTTGTGCTTTCTAGGCTGGTGGGCCATATTGATATCACTTTTCACCTCTGTCCCAGTAGACATTTTGTCCCTGCTGTCTGGCAAGAAAGCACGCTTCATCTCACTTTCTTTAATAAATTCGTCATCACTTTCAATTACTGGTTTTGCCTCTGTATTCAAAACTGTATACTTCTTCTGTTTCTTATTTACATTGATGTTTTTAACACGATGCATGTCACCTTCCATATACAATGTTTTGTTATGTTTCTCATTATCCCGCCAATCACTCATTTTTCTTTCTTTGACCGAACCACTTTGCCTACTATTTGTAGCATCCAACGAACCATCATCAGATGAAAACTGTGCCCGATCTCCCTTCTTTACCGGAACTACAAACTTGTTATCATCAGACGAACAATAATCATCATATTTCGTCGTATTTTCCCCACTAGCCTTTGTTGGTAAGTCATTTCTTGAGTTTAGACCCACCTTTTTATAGTCCATACCGTGTTTCAGATGTTTATCAGCATTGCCAACAACTTCAATCTTAGATTTCTTATGAGTTCCAGATCCATGTTGATTATCCTCCATCTTACGCTTCAATCTAACCTGTTTGTCACCTGCACACATTTGAGAACCACATTGACATATTCTTTTAGAAAACTTTTATATACAGTTATTTACACCATAAAACAAATATGAAGCAGCAACAAAATATATCAACCCCAAAGTCAATGAGATACCTCCATTAATTTGATATTCTTTTGCCTTAAGCGCTTTTTTATCTTCTATCAAATTGTTCAACCTGTTCAAATATTGAGAATTAGATTTCTTCATACGGTTTGAGTCTGCAGACCGCTGATTCATGTCATTCAAGCTTCTATTTTTAACATTTGACTGTTGACCATTCTTTACTGTATTTGACAACTGAGGCCTGTCAATGTTGAGTCCTGGCTTTGCCTTTTCATTAATACCATGTTTCTTGTTTCCCCGGTCAAGCATTACATCAGAACTGGACTTTTTGTCAACATGGAAAAGTTGTAGAGTATCAACAGACTTCACTCCAATTTCGGGTCCAGTGACATGGCTTTGCATGTTATTTTGACCCTCAGAAATCGGCATTTGATATAAAGCATAAAGTGATTTTGTTGTCTCCTCCTCGCTGATGTTACACCGATTCATTCCAGGCCTAACAAGAATTTCAGAAGAACAATGAGAATCTAATAATACATACAGCAAAGATAAAATGTATGCAAAGTTGGAGAAAGGAGAAAATATGTCATAATTTCTATATCTTTCTACATACTGCACAATTTTGGTTATAATTCACAAACTGGGTTTTTAACAAGTAAAATATGCTCCTAAATGAACCCAAGATGAGAGTAATCAACTTACAGCCAATATAGCATGCTACACAACCATTTCTCTGGAAGCTGCTCTGGCTTTAAACCCATAGGTAGAAGCCGCCATTTCTGGCAACTGTCACAGCAAACCCAATCTTCTTCAATAAGTTGAGGTGCTGCTGCTGCCGACAGAACCATCTCAGAAGTGGGTTTATTTTCAGCAACAGGAAATGTGCCTGGAGCATCTTTTACGCATGGCACAGCAGACAACTGATAAACAACTTTATTGCCACTTGGTTTTTCCTTTACTTTAACCTCATTTGCACTCTTTTTAACATGGTAAAGGTCAGCATTTACTGTATCCTTATTAAGGGGAGGCCCATCAGTTGGATCTATTCCATAAAGCTTCAATTGTAATTTTTTTCTTTTCAGTAAACCTCTGTCACAATCTCTCACCTTATTATCCATCAGTTTCATTTTATGCATTTCAATTTTAGAAGAAACAACACCAATGCCAGTACTCTTTCTATCATTTACCATTGCTTTATTACTAGAACCAGTGACACCTTTTTTGGCATCGGCCACAACTTTTCCAGGTCCCTGTTCGCCTTTTAAGTTGTTCTTGCTTGCAGATTTTACCTTGGTCTGATTAGTCTCAAACTTTTGAGTATCTTGATCCACCTTACGTTTCATTTCATTAGAGTTAACCCTTTTCGAAATAGCAGAAGTGTTACACTTTCTACTATTCTTAGGATCAGCAGAATTGTTATCCTGAGACATTTCCATTTTATGCTCTAACACTTTTTTCCCAAAGCTACTTCCTGTATTTCGTTTCACAACCTTGTCAAAATCCTGATCAGATATTGACTCCAATGAAACCTCCTTCACTGCTTCTATGGAACCCATTCTACATTCCACACCATTTTTATTGACCTCCTTGGATACTTCAATAGCCTTACCAGCGACTTCTGCTGTTTCACCAGCATCACAAATTGAACTTGACAGTGGTGTGCATCTCAGACCATTAGACAGAAAGTCCTTACGATCTGGAGTTGTATTTGCTAATCTTTTCTTCGTATGAAATGTCATGTCGTTCTCATAACAGTTACCATTCATATGATGCTTTTCACTTTGGTCTACCACTGTCAGTTTCCTTTTCTTCAACAAATGTGAATCCCCAACCAAGGAATCTGATTCATCAGTAGACATGGAATAATGCTCCTGATGACCATTAAGAGAAGACATGGGTCTACTGTCTCCAAGGCCTTTTCCCTTTCTAATCAAGTTGAGTAGACTGTCATGTAGAGGTGATATTAGCACACCTCCAGGGATAGTGAAAGAAGTCATAACCTGTAACATCAAACATAAAAAAATTCAAAAAATATTGTTATGCATAAAACAGTTCATCTACTTTCGCCAAACAGATTAAGCTTTTACGGTAGTCTGTTTATAACATGATAGCAGAGCTTCTTGACCATGTAGTCCAGAGTTCAATCCTTGTTGCCTTGATTCCTTTTTGGTAAAAGTTAAGTGTCATCACGCAAGAAAAAGTAGACCAATGGTTGTGTTAGATATAAAAGGTGAACTTGGAAGAGTTTGTTTCCAGTTCATTTTAACTTGTCTTATGCCATAAGAACTTGTGTAACTGCTTGGAAAAACTTCTCAAAATAGTTATGATATGTTTATCAGTTGCTTTCAGCTTATCTCAATAAGCTACTGTGAAAAGGCTTACAACTTATATGAAAACAATTTACCCCGTTTGCTCTGTTCTGATTACAGAAACAACTTATACTGAAGCTTTTATATGATAATCACTTATGACAGGACAGCTTAAGCTATCAGAATAATTAATTCATAGAAATAAAACAAGTCATCTACCTGAATAATGCTTGTGCAAGATTCTTCAGGCATCTCTTGAGATAAGTGTGGCGAATCTTCACTTTCCTTTTGGCTGTTTTCTGTCGAAGAGGATGGAGAGTCATCAAGCCCAAGTCCACTGTAAATTGCAGCATTCTTTTTTGCTAAGCTATCTGATTTTACTTTGATTTGTGGCGTTCTTTGGTTGGTCAACTTTTCTGCCTTATTTGCAAAGTCCTCTTTCAAACTACATTTCCCTGTTACTCTATTCGAGGAAATTCCTGTGTTCTTCTCTGAAGGCACTCCTGTATCTCGAGATGGAAGAACAATAGGGGAAGCAGTTCCAAGCCTCGTGGAAGGAGTCGTATTTGGAGGTGCTCTTGAGTTATAAATTGCAGCCTGTATAACAACATAACCAACGATGCTCAAGTAAACCGTATTTCTCCCAAGCTAACACATCATTTTCCTATCCATTGGTTGAAAAAGGGAAAAACAAATAACAAATTTTTATATACCGTGGTGTGGATATTGCTGGGAATTTTTTGTGAACTATTGGGTTTTTCTGGAGCCTTTGGACCTGATCGCAACCGAGGCGAGCGTTCATAGGTGGGTAAAAAGGAGCCATAATCACCAAATTTTGCACCTAAAAAAGTTGTTCATATCATCCGACAAAGTTACTCGTGTGAGTGCATAGACAGATATTTCATTTCTGGTTACATGCCATTATTTCTATTGTTGAACTTACCCAAACGCTCGGGAAAAATACCTCCTTCAAATTCCTTTTGGAAATCACCCAGAACATGCTGAATCCTCTCATCCTAAAAAAAACAGTAAGCAAGCTATTAGTCCTGTTATGTTAAAGATGAAATTTAATCAATATGACTGATAAAAGCAAAAATTGCATTGGCTAAATGTATCACGAGGAATGAAGCAGCATCATGACAGACACCATGAAGCACAGCAGCAAAATTCAACAATTATAATGATTTTTATTATTTAATTGGTAGGTAAGATTCTTATCCCACGGTCAAAATATAACTGCACATTAGCATACCACAAACAATCTGAAAAAACAAACAAAAAAGATAAACTTGTATATCACCACTATTACGCAGAAGTACACTTGATGCAGGATGTAATTATTGATGGTATTGTGTGTGGCAGATTGCAGATCCAGCTGCAAGAAAGTGTGTTTGTTTGCTCATTACCTCTTTTCCAATGTACTTCAACGTGGATTGGCGTTCAATTGGGTTTTAAAATCAAGAAACAAACACACTGAAAAGCATCTACAGTATCCGTAGACAAACATAATTGATCCATGTGTTTGTCAGTTTTTGGTACATTTTATTACGTTTTGGTACTCTTCGATTATAGACCAGATTCTTTTTATAAAACAAAACATGGTTTTCTTTAATCATTAAAGAAAAAAAGTCAATATGTCTTCGATTTCCTGTATGTCACAAGGAATGAAACACATTGACAAATTGAAAATTCATGCTCAATGGTACCAGATAATTTCACTTGTTTGTTCCATTTGCGCGCAAGAACAAAGTAGAAGAGAAACCAAACCAGAAAACATTGAAATGGGTTAAGATTTCAAGTAAAAACCCTTACAATGTAAGAGAGAGAATCAAGGTCAATGTTGTCATCATCCTCATCCTCATAACAATAGAAAGCCTCTCCTTCCTCCAACTCAGCAGTACTATTGCGTTGCATCTTGACCACCGCAAAATTAACCCCAAAAACCCAAACCCCAAAACCCGAGTGACCCCTTTACAGTGGAACTTTCCCTGAAGTCCAGCATCACTTCAACCAACAATATACATCAATTGATAAAAAAAAATCAATTTTTTTTTTTCAAAATACCCCGACCCAGGAAAGGAAGAGGAGAACCCAGAAGCGGAAACAGATGAAAGAAAGTGTGATCATGCGATGGGACAAGAATGTTGATGTGAATTATTACTTGAATTAAAAATTAATTTTGGGTTTGACCCAAGAATAAGGGAAGAATTGATGAGACGGTGGAGATCGGCGAAACTATGAGCGACGACAGAAGTGGAATGAATGAATTGAGTATTGACGCAGACTTCAAACGGAATCCAAAACTTTCTCCCTCTTGAATTGTTTGATGTGCCCAGCACGGAATGAAAGACTACGGTTTTGTGTTTGGTCTCTTAATTTTTACAATTTTATATGCTATATTTTTTTATTATTATTTATTTATTCCCTTATATCGCCCAACTTTTGTTTCTATCTTATTGTGTTTGGTTCTTCATGGGAAAAAAAGAGTTTATTTAGAAACAATACCATCTTTCTTATTTTTATAAATAATAATATACTAGTAGAGTTTTCTCTTTTTTATAACAAAAATTAATAAATATTAAAATTTTGATGTAATTATTATCATGAGAAATAATTATCAAAACATAAAAAAAAATAAAGTATATGTAAAAATAATTTATTTTTTTATTAATCATTATATTTTGTCCTAATTTAGGGTTATGACCAGATAATAGAAAATTTAGAGTGAGTGTTTAAGATATTCTGGTTCGAATTACAGTGAATTCAAGTCAGAAAGGTAAAAATCAAACATTAATGAACAATTTATACATAAATGGACATATGAAGATATGAAATGTTAAAAATTATTTAAGTTATATATATATATATATATATATATATATATATATATATATAAACATCTTTCTTTTTTATACTATTTCTGAGAGGATAAGAGTTCTGATTAATTTATCTGTTATTATTATTAGAATACTTTTATCTTATATATTTAATTGTGATAGGATAAAATTTTAGATGATCTTAAATTTCTCTAATTGGTATTATATTCAGACATCTTTCAGAATTTTAAAGATACATCTTTATGGAACAAAATTGTTCATTATGCTAATTTCTTTGTTTATCATAAAAACTAAAAAACTGGTTGATGGAAGAAAAGTGTCAAAGAGTAGAAAAGGTATGAAATTATTAGGAAAACAAAATACTTTAAAAACCAATTTTCATTATTAATGGTTATGTATTGTTGTAACTATATTACTAGGGAAAATACTTGTTACTTGCTCATTTATGTTATTATTTTATAATGATTAAAGTAATTTTTACAATTTTATTGTCAATGTACATAATTATTACAGTAGTTGCAATGTAAATAATTCTTATTTATTTTGTATATAGTTTTATTAAAAAATGGTTAAGTTTAAAAAATACAAAATTAAAAACAGTTGAATTTAAAAAAGAAATAATAATTTAAAAGATAAAAAATAATAACATATTTATTTTAATTTAAAAAACTTTTATTTAAAAGATAAAATTGAAAAAATACATAAATACAACACACTACTAAACACTATAAAATCTTACAACGAGATCATAAAATTGCGGCATTGATAATATACCAACAATCAAAATTTATTATCACCTTCGTATCATACTTGAAGTAAAATTATACACCACCATATTCATCAACATATATAATATACACACCCATTTGATAAATATTTGTAAAACGTTCTAAAAAGACCAACTTTTTAAATATAGAAAGCTTAAAGGAAAACCCAAAATAGATGTTTTGTACTAGACTGTCGTCAAGTAAGTCACTCACTCAATGCATTAAGCAAAACAAAAGCTCAGACCTACAGTAGATAAGTGATGTTCAATGTCACTTTCTCTCGCTCAACGCCCACCAAATAAATAGTTCATTATCTTTGCATCACTCAGCACCTAAACTGGTCACTCAATGCCCAAACTAGCCACTTAGTGCCCTGAAGTACGGTGGCTCTCTGACTTTGGGACGCTTAACACCACTCTGTGCCCCTCAATGTCATACCAGAACATGGCAACTCTGATTCTCTTGATTTGTGTGTATTAAGTCATTTACAAATTATCAAATTGATATCCTAATACTTGTAATTGTTTGAAAACACGTTTAACTATTGGTTTGGATATCAATTAATTCAAATGACAAATGATTCAACCCATTAGATTAAGCTCACACTCCTCATAGCCCAACTATCATATTAACATATTTGCATCTCATATTTCAGCAAAATCAAAAGCTAACAAAGTCCCAAACGACACAAACTTAAATTCCTAACTCCAAAATTACTCAATAACCAATTCCCTTAGAATTTTACTTGTCAAAACTCCATTACTAAACTTCCTTTTTATCTAATATCATGACCTTTTACTCATTCATATACCCAACAACAAAACCATAAATTATTTACTCAATCTCACCAAATAAGACCAGCAAAAATCTTTAAATTTAACAAGCAACTCCCTCCTAATTTTCATATACAAAACCAAAAAACTCTAAACCCAAAAACTCAAGTATTTCATCATATCACAACAGCATTTCAACACAAATTTCAAACCAATTAAACAACCATTCTTAACCAATAGATCTTTCAAAAATCAATACACTCACTCAATCATTCATCACACCAAACCACTAATTTCACAACATTTTAAACATACAACACATATTATAAACCTCAAAATAAATTAAAAAGTAATGGTTAGTTTTTCTTACCTATTAGGAGCTCAAACAATTCTATAGAACTCATACATCCCCCACATATCAACTAACTCTATTTGTTTCTACAATACATAATATCATGATTAAAGTACATCATTAGAACCATTGATTAATAAAAAAAGTTAATGAAAGGAGTAGATGACACATGTGACAAAGCTAGGTTTACATGTATTATCAAACATATAAATTAGAGAAAAAATAGTAGAAATTAACTTACTATTTTATAAGAATTCATCGATTAGAAATAAATATATTGTTGTCGTGATCATGTAGACACTCCATAATCTTCAAATAAATAACTCAGAATTAAAACTCTAAGAAAAAAAAAATATTCAGATAATGAATTTTAGAAAAATAACATATATTTTAAGTAATAAGACTCCTTAATAAAATTGATATTTATATATTTTGTTTTTAATATTAAAATAACATACTCTTATTATTTAAAATATTTTATTAGCTCTTAAAACTCTATTTCATAGGTTCTTATCACATACTAGATGCAATTCATGTTAGTAATTCGAAGAAGGAGCATCAAGTACATAAGTTCCTCTATTTTCAATTGCTTCGTCTTTTTTCTTGATTTTTAAATCAATTCAGTTATTTATAGTATGTAGTCAATGTAATTTTGTTCACCGAGAAATATTCAAATGATTTGTTCATGTTGTTTTAGTAGAACCACGGCGCAAAAATAATTCTCCGTGTGTTGAATTTCATTTGTAAAATGAAATTGTTATATATCATATGATCAAATTATAACATAGTTATTTTCTTTTATGGAAAATACTTCCATTATATCCAAAAAATAAATTATTATTATTAGCAGCCAAAAAAATAACGATGACTGTGATGCTTTAAGTAAGTATTGTAATTACTATAAATAAACAAATAAAAAAATAAGGTCTTCCCATTCGAACATTACTTTAAGTCTTATAAAGATTTATTTAAAAAATAGGAAAACATATATGGAATAAGTTACCTAAATAAGATAAAAAAAAAACAATGTAAAATTACCACCGTGTTTGACAACGAAAAGAAAAACAATAACTGTATCTTTAAAAAGAAAATATTTTCAGATTTTGAAACTATAAAGAATATTTACAATTCATTTGAATATTAATTTTATTTGAAAAAAAGAAGAATGAAGTGATAGATTGAATAAATAAGGAAACAAAATTTACATTTTTCAACCTGAAATCCATTATTGAATAATTGTTTTTGCATAGATATAAATAAACTTACCCTCGTTGTACTCGTGTGTTTTTTTCCCATAACTTTTTGTAGTATTATGACAATCGCAAATGGAATGCGTGAACGACATCACTCTCGGAAACTTGTAAATCGCATTCAACAATCGCAGTTTGGAAAAGCGCTTTATCAGTCCCGTGTTTGATAAAGCCATTTTTTAAAATACTATATATTAGTTATATAAAATAATTTTATGATATTTTTTAATCAAAAGTATATAGAGACACACTATACTAGTTAGACTTTTTTCAAAAATTATCTTAAAATTAGAGGCTGAGCTTCATAGTTTTGGGGGCCTTGCTCCTCCTAAATTTGTTTACGTATACATAAAAATAATTTATTTTAATTTTAATATATTTTATGTTTAGCATTTTAATTTTTTATATATATTTATGTTGACACTTCCAAAATATTTTCTAAAAATTTCTCACTTTTAAAACAATGTTTAATTACTAGTTGTTGCTTATAGATTTTAGTGCAGGTTAAATTTGTTTTTGCTGTGTAATAACTGAAAATGAAATTAAAAAATTAGGTTAAAATAGGATGAAAGTAAAAACGGATAAAATCTTTATTCCCTTCATCTTTTTTTTCATTTTCATTTGAGTCTTTTTTTTTTCTTAAGCTGAAATTTTCTTTATAGTATAAAATTGCAAGTAAATTAAGTAAATTTGATAAAACCATAAGGATAAATAATCTAAATACAAAAGATAACATGGTTATATTGAATTTTATACAAGATTGTGTGTTATTTGAATATTTTTTAAATGTATGAATTTGTTGATATACGATTTATATAGCTTGAATGAATGAAAATTGTTGTGTGTTTATTAATTTTGTGTTAGAATACTATAGCTAAGACAAATTGTTTCAACTGTGGTTATTTTAAAACAAAATATTAAATGTTAGGCATGATAATGTTGTTTTATTTTTTATAAATAGATGATTGGTTTTAAATGCTTTAAATTAGTGTTGTCCAAATGGGTTGTAACTAGCAAGTCAACCCAACCCGGCCCACCACGGGTTTGAGCCAGATTGAGTTTGAAAAAAATAGTAATTTTTTATGCGGGTTTTGTGTTTCAATATTATTAGTTAGCATTTTTTTTTTATTATATTGTAGATGAGATAAAAAATGTTTCTAAGAGAGAAAAATATTATAGATTTATATATATTCAAGAATCTAATATTATAAATGGACAAGTGATATAAAAATTATCAATATTAAAAACTTATTTATTCGTCTTTTGTGCTTGTTTTTTTTATAGTTGAATTGTATGATATTTTTTTTATTTTGAATTATCTTTGGAGTTAGAGTGAAATTTATTTAGATTTGAATTAAAAAATTATAATTTTTTTATTTGAGAACAA